ACTATCTTTACCACCCACCACTCTATTTTGAGATATATAGTATCTTGTATTATTCATAAAAATGTCCTGTTGGTATACCTTCTCTTCTCTGCATACTGGAAACTTCTGCAGAACAAGAAAAATAGCTTTGATTTTTGTAGTCACTCTTTAAGGATATTTTCATCGAACCTGTAATATATCCAGATTAACATATGGGCCGGGTGTGGTGGCTCACGTTTGTAATCCCAGCAATTTGGGAGGCCGAAGCAGGTGGATTACATAAGGTCAGGAGTTCAAGACCAGGCTGGCCAACATGGTGAGACCCTGTCTCTACTAAAAATAGATAAATAAATAAAAATTAGCTGGGCATGGTTGGGCATGCCTGTAAACCCAGCTACTCAGGAGGTTGAGGCAGGTGAATCACTTGAACCTGGGAGGTGGAGATTGCAGTGAGCTGAGATCTTGCCACTGCACTCCAGCCTGGGCAACGGAGTCAGACTCTGTTTAAAAAAATTAAAGAAAAACAGATTAACATATGATAAGAAATGGTTTATGTTTGCCGCAAGATTAATAGAACGAGGATTGGTAGATTGTTAGAAGTGAGATACTAAAATGCTGTTAGACTACTGATACTCTGATTTGTAGGGATAAAGAATTCAGATTGTAAGGGTTTTGGGGAAAGTTCCCCTACGGAGAAGAATGACCTGCATATTACTATGAATTAGTGATTCTTCTATTTTAATAAAGCACCCCTTTAAAATGTAGATGCCTTAATTAGGAACAAATCCTTATATACCAGTATTGTTTCCTTGTGAATATAAATAAAGTATAAAAAGGCATAGAAATCATAAGGGTAAGAGAGACACTTATTTTTCACCAATACCTTTTGAATTTTTTTTTTTTTAGTATTTACATTTTTACCTGTTCTAATCTGACAAGCTAGAACTGTTCAAATCTAACAAGTTGGGAATGTTTAAGCCATCCAAATCTAACATCTTGGATGAGTAAATTATCAAACATTCCCACCAGTGTAAAAGTCTTCAACATATGTTTAATTGCTTTTATTTTTAAAATCATCTTTATTGGGTTGTAATTTACTTACAGTATAATTCACCAGTTTTAAGTGTACAATTTGATGAGTTTTGGAGATGTATACAATTGTGTTCTACCATTACAATCAAGTATGGATCATTTCCATCACCCCCAGAAGTTTGTTCCTGCCCTTTTGTAGTCAGTCCTTTGCCCCATCTCTTTGCTTCTGGCAGCCACAGATCTGCTTTATTATTACTACAGTTTTGCCGTTTCTAGAATTTTATATAAATGGAATCATGCAGTATGTAGTTTTTGTATGTGGCCTTTTTTAGATTTTACCTGAACATGTATCAGTAGTTTGTTCCTTTTATTGCTGAGCAGTAGTTCACTGTGTGGCTATACCACAATTTGTTTATTCTGTTTACTATTTGGTGGAATTTTTCTTTTTCAGGGTTTAGCTATTATGAATAAGGCAGTTATGCAGACACAGTGTTATGCAGTATAAGTGTTTTTATGGACATATGTTTTTATGTTACTCAGATAAATGTGTACAAGGCAATTGCTGAGTCATATGATAAGGGTGTGTTTTAATTTTTATAAGTAACTGCCAAACTCTTTCCCAAAGTGGCCGTACCATTTTGCATTCCTACCAGTTGCACTACATTCTTGTCAACACTTGGTGTTAGCAGTACTTTTTATTTTAGCTATCATTCTAATGAAGGTGTAATGTTAACTCATTACAGTTACATTACTTTGTATTTCCCTAAAATGATTAATTTTTCGAGCATTTTTTCCAAGTGTTTTTGGTTATTTGCATATATTCTTGTGTAAAGTGTCCAAACTATTTCCCTATTTTTTAGTTTCATTTTTATTTATGTAGGCAGGAGTGCAGTGTCATGATCACAGCTCACTGCAGCCTTGACTTCCCAGGCTCAAACAATCCTCTCACCTCATCCTCCTGAGTAGCTGGAACCATAGGCATGTACCTCTATGCTCAGCTAATTTTTAAAATTTTTGTAGATACTGGGGACTCCCTATGTTGCCCAAGCTGGTTTTGAACTCCTAGGTTCAAGCATTCCTCCTGCCTTGGCCTACTAAAGTGTTGGGATTATAAGCATGAGCCCCATTACCCAGCCCCTATTTTTTAAAAAACAGTTTTTTGTCTCCTTCTTACTGAGTTCTGTATATGTATTTACATACTCTGAATACAAGTCCTTGATCAGAAATGTTTTCTAAATTTTTTTTCCAAGTCTGTGTGCTTGTGCTTTCATTTTCTTAAGTGTGCCTTTTCAAAGAATAAGTCTTTAGTTTTGATGAAACCCAATTTATTGATTTTTTATCTTTTTGTGCTTTTTGTGGAGTGTTAAAGATTATTATCTAACTGAATATTAGATTGCCTTTTGTATTCTTCTAGTAGCTTATAATCTCATTTCTGGGTTTCTGATACATTTTGAGTTAATTATTGTATATGATATGAGGTGTCTTATCTTTCCAAATGGGTATATGATTGTTCCAGATCCATTTGTTGAAAAAGACAATAACTTTCCGTTTAATTACCTTAGTGTTTTCATTGAAAAATCAATTGACCATATGTATGTGTGGGTTTATTTCCATTCCATTATTTTAATTACTATCTTTATTATAAAGGTAGTAATTAAAATAATGGAATGGAAATAAATATTTTCCTTATTATTGTAAGGAAATAATATTTTTATATAATAAAAATTATTATATAAAATGTCTTAACTGTAAGACTATAAAGTTTTGTAGTCTTACAGTTAAGACATATATAAGTCCTCCCACTTTCTCTTGTGTTTCAAAATTGTTTTGGCTACTTTATGTTCTCTACATTTTCATATAAATTTTTAAAAGCCTACTGGGATTTTGACTGGACTTGTATTGACTCTTTAGATCTGTTTCAAGAAAATTAATATATTAAACAATATTGGATGTTATGATCCAAGTACATGATATCTCTCTTTCTTTACTTAGGTCTTTACTTTCTCTTACCAGTGTCTTGTAGTTTTTAGTGCATAATTCTTGCATATATTTTTGTTAAGTTTATTCCATTATATATTTAGCACTATCTTAAGTGATATCATATGCTCTTGTGATGCTAGCAATGCAATATTAGCAATGCTAGTATTGAAATACAATATGACTAGTTTTGAAGTATGATTCACTTTTTATATTTTGACCTTGTAACATTGTAATGTTACCAAATGCACTATTACTAATAGCTTTATTTATTTAATTTTTGGTAAGCTCTTAAAAATTTTCTGCATAGACAGTCATGTCTGCAAATAAAGTCAGTTTTTACTACTTCTTTTCTAATTTATCTGCCTTTGATTAATCTTTCTTGCCTTATTGCATTGATTAGGATCTACAGTGTTAAGTAAAAAGAGGATATCTTTTGCCCTCTTATATTAGAAAGAAAATATTCAGTCCTTCCTTAGTAAGCATGATGTTAGCTATAGTTTCTTTCTGGCTGCCTTTTATTAGGCTGAGGAAATTCCCTTAAACTCCCAGTTTGCTGAGGGTTATTTTTGAATGAATATTAAATCGAGATTATTTTATGCTTTTTATATTAATCTGTTAATCTGGTAAAATACCCTGATTGATATTTTTATGATAAAGCAACCTTGAATTCTGAGATAAATCCCATCTTGTCATTATCTGTTTATATGTATGTTTCTGGGTTTGATAGGATTTGGTTACAGTTATTTTGTTATTTGTCTTCCTAAGGGAGCTTGCACTGTAGTTACCTTTTCTTGTAGAATGTTTGTCATTTTTTTCTTTTTTAAATCTGGGTAACATTGGTCTCATAAAATGAGTTGGGGACTGTTACCCCTTTTATTTTCAGGAAGAGTAAACCCAAACTTAATTTTGAGTTGGAAAATACAAAAGTTCACTTGGGCCACTCAAACAACTTATTTCTTGTGACTGAAATAAGAAACATTTTAATATGTATTAAAGGGTATGTTCTCCCTTCCAGATATCTCCAAATGATTATGTGTATTTAAAAACAAAATAGCTTATGTAGGTATGCTTATGTAGGCATTTGTAAAAATTGTTATGCAAATTAAAATTTAATATCTTTGGATGTTAATTTAGTATCAATAAACCATAGGTATAGTATATGAAAATATATTCAGAAATGTTAGTACTTATGATTTTGTTTTTGTTAATATAAACATTTTGTGAAATCTCTTGTATAGTCTCATTAAGTCATACTTTGTTTATATTTCAACTTAACAGACTTGTCAGTGGTAATTGTTATGTTACATTAAATTTAAAAAATCCTTTTTCTAGCACAATATTTTTCTACTAACAGTTCTTTATGGCAACAAACTATTCCTTGAACATGCAATATAGTTCTTAAATTGTATCCCATTTAGATGAGAAACTGATAGATGTATTTAGATTGCTTAGTCACTGATTTGAGTTGACCTCATTGCATGACTTTTTTACATGGTGGTGTCAAAACTGTTCTATTTTCATCCAAAGCACATTCTGTGAACTTTAGGATTAGGATGACAAATACCATCTACCATCTAACATGGTATCTGTTAAAATTGTTTTGGTGGATTGGGAAGCTGAATTAAATGAATAAAAATGGTGAACTTTATTGAGTGATAAACGTGAAACTCAATTTATGTTTTTATGTGATGAAAGTAGTTTGTTGCTGTCTTT